AGCTTTCTAGCCTACATTTAAAGAAAATGCAAAAATTCATTTCTCATCAGGTTGACAGTATAATTCAAGATGAGATACAGGACATCAGCACATCACCGACTGCTGACCGAATGGATCATGCTCCTATCATTTCTCTTGATTCCCTCTTCTCTACTCCGTCGGATGATGGGTAGTTACTTCCCTCTTCTCCACTCCGTCGGATGATGAGTAGTGACTTCATCCTAGTGTCAACTTCATACTTTTAACTATTCCGAAGACAAAAACATCTTCCATTTTGCTCCATGTATTTTTGTTTATAAAATTAAGTGCATCATTAATATTACCTATTAACTTACTTAGAAAATCAAGTTTCACTTGTAGAAATATTGGACTACAAATGTCATTGTTCTTCTAAAAGCAAACGTAATGCTTAGATTTGCGATATTTGAAAAGGGGAGGAGCCTTACGTGGATTGTAGAGAGGGAGGGGATGAGGGATACTTCTTGGTTCCTTACGGGTCTAGAAATAGGAAAAATGCCTTACATAGTTTATGGATGGACACTTATGACGTACTGCTCTTGTAGAAGCCTACATATTTAGAATAGAATACTTTCTTTTTGTCAAGGCATCTTTTTTCTTTTTTAGTCAGCAAACAATTGTTTTTCATACATCAAAGGCAGATGAAAACAACAACAAAAAAATAAATCAATTGAAAGAAAATGATAAAAAAATCATTTAAGAAAAATTAATTAAGTGGCTAATCGATTCGATGATGCCTGTGAACGTTCCTGGTGGAGAAAATTCTGCGTCGCAAGAAAAACCAGTCCTTTGTCAAGTGGTTGGGTCTGGACGCGAGTCACAACAGTTGGATCGATAGTAAGGATTTCGTATAAATAGTATGCAACGCGAACTGTTTTAAACTGTAACAGTAAATATCCACCAAAACAAAATTGATTCATCAAACTGAACATTGCAATATCCAATCCCCGTTGCTTATCCCAAAACACAAGGTCCGATACACTTCTCCAAACGCACACCACCGCCACGCCACTACTAATTGAAATTCCCGAATCAGACCCTACTCTCCGGTACCCGATACCAGATACATCCTGGAGGAGACGGTCTATCGCTGCCGAAAATTTTACAATTCCGAAATCTCGAAAACGGAAAGTCGTATCAAAATTCGGTCAGTACAGTTTCCCGATCTCCGATAGTGTAAAAGATTCGCATCGGTCCGGGGCGGATCGAAGGAGGTAATTTTCCGAAAATATTCTTCAGCACTCCCGAATCAGTCACTACTCTCCGGTACCCGATACCAGACCCATCCTGGAGGAGACGGCCATCGATGTCGGAAATTTTACAAGTCCGAGAATCCGAATTTTTTGCAGAATCTGACAACCATGAACGGAAAAATTATTTAATTTCTTGCACCATCTGGCAGCACTGTAAAATTCAATGTTGCCTAATTTCAACGATAATTAAATAATTTATTTATGTGCACCGCCCGGCAACGCTGTTGCATAATCGCCATATTGAAGGGCAACATACACCATTGCATAAACCCACAGGGCTACATACACCATTGCATAGCCCGAAGATTGAAGGGGCTACATGCAATACTCTTACTTTTTTACAGCGTTGCCATATAGTACAATACCCGCCCCACAAAACTGCGATTTAATTCGTATTTTTCTGCACAATTTGGCTAAAAACTTTTGGCCTCAAGTCGGCATTTCTACCCTACTGCGAGTGCCACAGAAATCGAGAACGCTATTCAAGAGAGCAAGAGAGCGAGCGAAGTGTATGACAGGACAGGCTAAGGATGACTGATAAGTGAGGAGACTTGGTCTGCTTTCGAATGTGTTCTGTTTGGTGAACTGCGCGAGTGTAAGCTCCGCCCAGCCACCAGGGGTGGGGAAGCCCCCAACTGTTTTTTTTTTCAAGTGGTAACCCCTGCCTTGTGATACCTTTTTGGAAAGAACATTGAAAACTGAGAATTTTGGCGCAAACCGCAAATCAATATCTTAATTTTTAACCGAATAATGATAAATCAAAGGTCTAATGTGACCTATTTTAAAAAAATCACAACTACGGTTCAAATTATCGTAGAAAAAATTTAAAACGGGGAAAGAACCCCGCACCATCCTTATGGGAAATCCCACCGGTCAAATCTGATGAAACTTTGACATGTTGCTCAGCTAGTTCAGCTAGTTACTCATTCTGATCAAAAGCTCTCATGGGCCCAAAGAGATCCCACGTGCGGTTTTTGAGATATTCGCCGTTTTATGTGCGTAAACGGAGGTCCCGCCGGCCGGACCATTTTGCGGCGCCATACGCGTACCCTTCCCTCCCAGTCCACTCCGGCCCCTCTCCGCTTCTCCGCCACTCTTACCGGAGTCCCGAGGCTCGGACTCCGATGCTCACAGGCCCAGGTGGTCTTATCTGATTGTGAGTGGTAATATAACCACCCGGGCCGGTGACGATGAGCAAAGCCTCGTGAGCGTCGGATTCCGAGCCTCAGGTATGGGTGGCGGAAAAGCGGAGAGAGGTCGGAGTGGACTGGGAGAGAAGGGTACGAATAGTGCCGCAGAATGGTCCGGCCGGCGGGACCTCCGTTCACGCATTTAAAACGGCGAATATCTCGAAAATCGTATGCGGGATCTCTTTTGGCCCGGGAGCGCTTTTGATCAGAATGCCTAGCTGAGTTACATATTAGAATGGCCACGCCCGATTCCCTCCCGGATTCCCTTTCGGATCCCCTCTTGGATCCCAATGCCCTCGCGGCTGTGAAAAAAAAGAGAATTGGCAACGTCGCAGCAATTATGGATGAGAGTTACAATAGACATTTCCTTGCAAATAGGTGATGGTCTGATGGTGTGTGTGTTGAAATGCTGGAGAGGTGTAAAGGGCCCAACTTTGATATGAAAGTTCATGGAACCTAGCAATTTGAAGTCCGTGCATAATTGTTGAAACGTAAAAATAGATTTAAAATAATTATATGATGATGGGTGAATTTTTGTGAGAAACAATTGAAACGAAAAGCAGAAGGTCAATTTCATTGTCCTCCACTTTCAAAATTTGATTGCAAAGGAGCTCCATTTTATCACGGGATTATTTTTTTTTTTTTTTTTTTTTTTTTTTTTTTTTTTTTTTTTTTTACAAAACGGCCATCGAACGTTTGGCTGAGTTGATTAAGATTTCGGAGTCACGAAAAAGCTTCCTTAAGTTTCACGAAAACCGATCAAAGTGAATCTGACATAGCATTTTAGACCACTGCTGCCATCTTGGATTTTGGATTTTTGAAAATCTTACTAAAAATTTGAGTTTCCCTATCAAAAAATACCTCCTGTTACCGAGTTTCACACAAGTCATTCGAAGAAGAGCCGAGATAGCATTTCAGGCTACGTCCGCCATCCTGGATCTTGGAATGTCGGAAATCCGACCAAACATTCGAGTTCCCCGCCATAAAATACACGCTGACATTGAGTTTCGGAAAAATTGATCGTACAGGAGCCGAGTCAGCTTTTTATGTCATGGTACCATCTTGGATCTCTGAATTTAGAAAATTTGATTATGAAACTCATGAACGAATTTTTAATCAAACGTGGAAGGAATAAAGGGGTGTAAAAGTAGTTCACGAGGGAGTCACACAGTGGAGAGATCGAGCGCGATCGAGGAGAGCCGCCACACCCACGGTGACGCTGCTCTGACGTAGCGCGACACGATTCAACCTATTTAGCTTAGGTTACATTCCAGAATTCATCTTTTTGATGGATCGTCAATCAGTTGTATAGTAGATCATGGCGTCATGCTGACGTAACCGATGGAGTCTGATGGAAAGTCAGATGACGTATCCTCGATTGATCCCAAGAACGCTTTTGGTTACGTTCCAGAATTCATCTTTTTGATGGATCGTCAATCAGAAGTACAGTAGAACATGGCGTCATGCTGACGTAACCGATGGAGTCTGATGGAAGGTCAGATGACGTATCCTCGATTGATCCCAAAAACGCTTTGATGAAATTTTCGATGAACGGGTTTGTTTTGTTTACTAGTATCACTTATCAGCGAAGCAATCTATTTTCGTTTTCTTCAATTTTAAGTGATTGGGGCTTCATGTTAGTAGCGAAATTGCTGGCAATTCAGTCATTTGAGTTTTTCGATTATTCTGCAGGATTTGTTTGGAATCTTGTCCTGCCATCTGTTAAAGTTTAGGGGAGAGTGGGGTTATTTGAGTCAGTTTTAGGAAAACGCTCCTAAATGTTATTTAAATTTTTTTTTGTCTGATTTCATGATTTAATACGATCAAGTATATTCTCAGCCATTGAATTTATGCCGGAGCAAATTTTCTGTGCATAAAGTAAAGTTGAAATCTTTATTTGAGCAGGGTAACCTTTTTGACCCACTTAACCCCGACCATGGGGTTTAATGAGTCACCCCTGGGGTTAACTGAGTCACCTACTGTAAATCATTCTGGACACATATTAATCAACTTAAAATAGATATTTGTGAAACCTCTATGAGATATATCTTTAAAATTATCAATGCTGCACTAATAAAAATAGTAAATAAATGAGAAATATTGAGGGAGGGGGGTAGGGTTGGGTTTCCTCTTTTTATCCTTCAATGTATGGTTTGCAATGACTCGATGATTAATTTATTTTTTTCTTTTTTGGTAGATACCAATTTGCTTAATGAATGAGGTCACAGGTAGGTACCTAAGTAAGTGAATGGATGAATAAACAGATAAATTATTAATGATAACTTTTGGTTGGTATGAGAGGAGTGTTGAAAAAAAGGTGAGCTTAAGAATATTTAGGAATTCAGAATAGCAAGGCAATAAGAAGGAACCCTCTGTTATGGCAAAAATTATGAAATTTCTTTTAGAGGCTTAAATAATAATTTTGGGAAGTTTTGAATATTTTCTAGAAGACATCATTTTTTTTTCAACCCTCCATTTCATGACCACCAAAATAAATATTTAAGAGGCTGTTGTCTTCGCTAAAAAATAAGAACCAAAATTAAAGAAATAAATTTTAATGAACACAAATTAATCTAGAACCACAGGAACATGGGTAACCTTATAAAGAAGAATTAGGTAATCTAAATGGGCAACAATTTATTTTCATAGGTAACATACTAAATAGGTATATAAATTAATGCTTTGGCGCAAAACATATTTATGTACGGAACATTTTTACTTTTAGTCCAAACTTAAAAACTAAAAGAAGGAAACAGTTGAGAAAAGGCTAAAATACAAATATACCTAAACACAGGACGTTTCGGTGTCTCACAACACCATTATCAACCACTAAAAAAGTACAAAAATAAAAAAGAAATTAACATCAAAAGAGACCAGCACGGCGTTACATGGTCATGAAAGAGTTTCCTGTTATCACTGCAGTCGAAGGAATCTTGGAATCCTCGGAGGAATCCTAGGTTGTTCCCTCTTCCTGGTGAACTTTCAGGTCATGATCTCTGCACAAAACAAATGAAATACAGAAAATCAGTTAAAATCTTAACTCGGTGAGTGACTCATTTAACCCCCAAAAAAGTGACCCATTTAGCCCCCAAGCAGGTTGGGATTTTCAAATCATGCTGAGGAAATTCCAAAATTATTTTTTTTTATGTTTCAAAAGGCCAAAATGTAGGAAAACAAGTCTACTTTTCAGAACAACTTACAGCATAAAAATCCAAAGAGAGTACTTACCAAGGTGCACAAACTTCTTGGAAGAAAAATCGCCGTTTTCTGCCGATTTCGACAGCTCCGCAGCTAATGTGGCTCCAAAATAAAAACAAAGAATGCCGATGACGTCACTGCACATTTTTTTGGTAGAATACAAGTCTTGCCAACTTCCTACGCCGGCAAAACCGAAAAATTCCTATTAGGCGGGAAAATATTCCATGTGACCCATTGAACCCCATGACCCAAATACCCTCAATCTCCCCTACCCATGTGAAGTTGCTATCGTAGAGTGTTTTGCTTTCTTGGAGTTATTTGTAACTGCTCTTTCCATGTCATTGGACACCTTACACTTATCTTTACATGATATCTTTCTGCTTACATGCTACAGATCTGATGTTTGATCTCACCAGCGGGCCGATTATTGAAACTGATAGACAAAGCTATAGACAAAGACGACAAAAGGGATTTGGAGGGATCCTATTGGTGGAAGCGGGTGGTGGCAATGGACATAGGAGGTAGGTTATGGACTGACTAACGGCAACCCACCAAAGATCCGACAGTTAGTCCATCATTTTCTTCTTTAGTCTATAGGAATCAACCGTGTCAACCAATAGGATCGCTTCATACTTCCTATGTCTTCTTTGTCTATCGCTTTGTCTATCAGTTTCAATAATCGGCCCGCAGCTGATTAAAGGCAGTCAAAACAGATGATCCTGCAGGAATCATCTGTCCGTTTAAGTGTTAGTAAGCATTTCTCTCAATACGTAAGTAGTCCTGATCGCCTTCTCAGTGGCTTGTCGCTACTTTCTTCGCACACATTGTTGAATACCCCAACAACTTTAGGCGAGAAATTAACCATTGAGGAGAGCATTAAAGTCCTCAACAAGGAAGCTGAGCCACTGAATATTTCTTGAGAACTAAGGTTGTGCAGATGGACCTGCAAGTTTGCCTGGTATCAGGAAATTTTATTGGCAGGCTTTGTAACAAGGCTTTCAGTGGAAGCAATCGCAGCAAAACCTTGGTAACTATCAATATTATTTAATGAGTTAGATAGCATCTCAGGAGATTCAAAGACTTCCGCAGACTCGCAGACTGTATTCATTCTTTGACACTTTGTCCAAAGAAGTTAAGTCCTATTCTACAGAAATTTTGGATGAAAATCTCATATTTTGTATACTATTCGAAGCACTTAGACCAACGAAACTTCTCCTAGTGAAAATTAATTAAATAGGAGGCTGTTCATTAAATACATGGCGCTCAATTTTGGATTGATCCCTCTCCTTTCCCTCTGGTAATGCTTTTGTGAGCTACAGGCCCCACTTATGTCAAGACAGAACGGTGTGACGCTATCCCAAACACCCATATGAATGCATGTCTAATATCTTAAGAACTGCCTCTAAGATGGAGAGAAAACAACCACAAGTTTTACTTACTTACACTGAGGGTAGGCACTACTCATCTGGGGTAGAAGGCAGAATGTGTCCAGTTGGCATTGATGGCGTTGCAAACCATTATAGAACATTGCTATAGCAGGAGATAAATTCAGCTCTTCATACAAATTATTAGTGATGAAACTTCCATGTTAACATCGAAAAATAATTTTGAATCAATGCTGAAAGCGATAGGCAATGGCACGGAAAGGTAAGTGAAAATGAAGCAAATTGATAGCTCATAGTGCTGATTAAAAACCACCAGCGCACTTTGCCTTTGTCAAAAGACAAAGGTATTCAAATATTGCACTTACACAATGTTACAGCCAATTAACTTGGAGCCTAGTTGCAGCAGAATATAAAATTAAAATGAAATGACCTTTGATCTGTTAGCACCAATCTGTCCGCGGGTAATATCTTGACCATGGCAACACAACACTTCCAGATGATCAAAACATCAAAACTTCCTAGATACATACATAATTTCATAGTCAATAGATGAAAACCACGATTTATCACAGGCTTCCAAAATTATTCCCATTCGAAGTAAACTAAAAAAACTTAATACATCTCATAGAAAAGGAGAATACTGAATAATGGAGAAATTGTCTATTGTCAGGACATATTATTTACTTATTTAGTTTATATTTGGAGGTTAATTACGTCATGCGACGTCATCTACATCGGCGTGTATCGGCTCCATCGGGCTCCGGAGTACGATGGATCTGGTTGATCTGATTGATCTACTATACGTTACAGCGATGGAATCAATCAGGATTCCAAAAACGCTTAGATGGATCTGCACCGATGAATCGTCTACTATTCACCGATCCCAAAATCACTTTGATGCACAACCAATTCAACCGGTTTACATCGCAATGAATTCTGGAATGCAACCTTAGTGTGGTGCACATGAACAACTCCCTATCTCCAATGCATTCATTTAGGGCGGAACAACTTTCCTCTTTGTTGGGCTTTAGAGACAACTTTTATGCAATTTGATTTTTTAGGCATGTTCCCATGGTTCTTGGCTTCATTCTTGCCAAGTTTGAAGGAAATCACCTCAAAACTTTTAACATTTTCTCTATAATTATTTTTTATTCTTAATTTTTTTATTTTTTTTTCTCTTCAAATAGTGCGGGGCAGATTTTGTGAAAGTTCAACAGAAGATTCCAATAATGAAGAAGAAAGATGGCTCATCTCTACATGTCATTCCTAATGCACGGTATGCATCAGTTGATGGCGATGCAGATCGCATCATTTATTATTATGTTGATGACTCTGGAATTTTTCACTTGCTAGATGGAGATCGAATTGCAATTCTAGGTGAGTCATAATTCATGAACCTTTGAATCTTCAGAATCTAAAATTTTTTCTCTATCAGGATTTTTTTGCGGTAGTGTGGAGCAAAAACCCTCATGAGAAAGGGACTGCTATGTATCGGAAGAAGGTCTTAAATGGGCTCAGAATGAAGCACCAGGGTCCGTTTGGATGACTTTTGGCACTGAGAAATTTGTGGTCGTCCAGCATGGTTGGCCTAACTGATCTAATCATACTAACTGGTAGGCCGAACAACTTAGAAAATTACTTTTTTGTTGAATGGGTTGCTTACATAATTATTTGGAGGGGTTTTATATTTTCGTCTTATTTTTACTACCTTAAATACCGCTAAAGAGATGATCCTGCACACTTAGATCCCCATCCCCCATCAGTCTCTACTCAAAAACCAGCCCACTTCAACCGCTATTTGAGACAATGAGCTTGTTCAGTAACTCGTAATTCTTGCATTTTTGGAAACTAGAGAGTGCACATAGCTCACAGGAATTTTCCCCGATTTTTTTGAGCAATATTAACCCACGAAATACGAGTTCAAAAGTCCGTATTTTGAGCTCCCATTTAAACGCGCGCCGCCTGGGCCATCTCAAAATGGCGCCCATTCTATCCGTCCGGCGATGGCCAAACTTTTGACCTAGCGTACCGGCAAGGTACCTCTGCATGCCTCTGCCGCGCGTGGGTCGTAAACAAACGAAGATTGATAACACGAATCAACTTGAAATTTCTTAATTTTAATTAATTTAAATCCATGTTCGACTTCAACCAAGCGTTTGGCAATAATATTCATCGTATTTTACAACCTGGAGCCACGGCCTATCGGCTCATTTTAAAGTGCACTCTGAAAATCAGTTTTACAAGTCCAATGTCCAAACCCAGACATTCTTTTTTTTTTGACCATTCTCTTTTCATTTTCGTCTCAAATCAAATATTTTGCAGTTTCTTTGTCTTAAGTATGTGGTCCTGAATTCATTCAAGACTTGGAAGTTCACCAATTATTTAGTATAACAGCCTTTTGACCTCTCAAACTTCTCCAATATGATCTCATGTAGTTCGAGGTTTCTTTAGCCCCAACCAAGTGATTACACATCTGAGGTGTGTCTTAAGGTTCTTCAAATTCGCAGTTTAGAACTAAATTAGAGACAACAGTTACTTAATCCAGTTCTGCTCTCATGTTCAATGTTTGTCATACCGTGGACCCGGGTGAATAGGAACAGATTTGAACTTTAACAGTTCGGAACCCTCAAAGGCAGTAACGAATATTTTTTTTTTTTTTACATATAATTTGTAGTCTCTATTAGTACTGTCGATTTTCAAAAGATTGTAGCTCTTCCAAAAAAATTCCCCCCCCCCTTTTTTTTATTTTTATGGTCTATTCCTATTCACCCCGGGGTGGGGTGAATAGGAACGCATTTTGGTTTTCAATGATTGTCCCCATTCTTTTAACAGCGGGGAGAATAGGAATGGTGGCGGAGTTTAAAAAAAAATCAAGAGAACAAAATTTTGGAAAAAACGACTGTAACAACAATTTTTAATGAAAAAACAAATGCATTACATATTCATGACCAAATGTAATAAATTAGAAAAATAAATAGGTATAGAAACAAGACTTAAAGTTAATTGACACAGTTTTGAGTATCTTTGAACTAAGTGCAAGGTATCAAAGGAATCTGTTGAAAAAATACCTACATGCTAATAAAAAATGAACTAGCCTTTGACATAAAGGAGCCTACTTAATCAGTCAAATTCAAGGCTACGACTACCTAGTTTAAAATGAGAAATGAAAAACACATATAAACTATTGGAATCGTTATATCCTAAAACCAAGGATGATGGAAAAGAGAAGTGCACGAGAGTTGCGTGACATAACGACAGAGTATATTGATAAAAGATACGAGCTTGCCCTGCAGGCTGTGACACCTAAGTAGCGACAATATCACTACTCGTACATGCTACCAACTGCTACATAATAGTATCCCTGCCCATTTTAAAATCTGAGGGATTTTAAAAGGAAAACATACAAGAAATATTTAAGCTCTGATTTAAAATTTACAAGAAAAACTTACAGAGAGAATGGATTTACAATTTTCAAGAGCTGTAAGGGCAGGAGATGAGTTAGAGTATTTATACCTTTTAAACAATACAATTTCAATAGAATGAATTATTACAGACAGATTGGTATGTATTGATAGAATAAGGTGGATTATACCGATCTGGAGGTTTGGATGGTCTGATAGATTTTCTAATTATTGCTCTTCCCCCACCTACTGAGGGGGGTCGAGATACACTAGATAGTGGGGTACGGTTTGTACTTACATGCGGTGATTCATCTAAAGTAGTAACAACTGCTGTTTCACCTGGAGTAAAAAATTTTTCAGGAGATTTGACATTAAGAGGTCTTGCTTGACTGGTTGGAGTGATTAGAGCATTGTTTGACCGTTGTAGAGAGTTTGGACATTGTTGCTCGGGCGGAGACCGATCATTACTTGGTTGACTTTGAACTTGCGGAGAGCTTCGGCTTGTTTGAGATCCTGGAGTACCTTGAGATTGTGAGGAGTCTTGACATGCTTGAGTGCCTTGTTGCTGAGAAGAACTCTGAGACGTTTGTGAGTTTGTTGGTAGAGTAGATAGTTCTGTTGGTACTGACTTTTGGATAATTTGTAGAGGAGGCTGTTTGCGAGGAGAGCTACCACTGAGGTTTGAGCGCTGTTTGGCAGGAGATTCTTGTGTTACAACATGAACTTCATCAAGAAATCTTATTCGACGAGGTTGTACTAAGGAGGTAGAGTTGGAGTGAAAAGGTAGAAGTTGGTCGATGTGACGTTTATGTTGAGTGCCTTGATGATCAACATAATAGTGAAGTTTGCCTAGTGTAACTGCGATTGTACCCTTTAACCACTTGATTTTTGAATTATATGTTCGAAAAAGAACCGTATCTCCAGCTTGGAAAGAACGAAGAGAACCTTTTGGAGAGGCTTGACTGGAAACAGACGGATTCTTGAGGTCTATTAAGGAGGAGCATTCTTCGAGATTTTCCTCTGTAGGACTTAAGTGTGATTCAGAGAGTGGTGAGATGATGTCAAGTTTTGTTCTTATGATTCTGTTTAAGAAAAGAGATGATAGAGGAACTTTAGTGGTTTGATGAGGAGCACGATGATAGTGCATTAAAAATTTGTTTAAGCAGAGCCGAAGTGTCTTTGGAGTAGCAGTCTTAGCTCTGAGAGCTTGTTTCACTGATTGCACATATCGTTCTGCTTGTCCGTTTGTACTTGGGTGGTAGAGTGCGATTCTTCTGTGGAATCTAACCCCTTGATTTGAGAGGAACGATTGGAACTCAGCGGATGTGAATGGAGGACCAATATCCGTTACAAGTATGTCTGGAATTCCAAATTCTGCGAAGGAATCAAACAACAGTTCAGAAGTTTTTTCACTAGTTGTAGAGCTTGTGATGAAGATTTTTGTCCATTTTGAAAATGCGTCAACAACAATCAGAAGAAATTTGCCAAAAATTGGTCCAGCATAATCAGCATGAACACGTTCCCAGGGTTTTTTTGGATATTCCCAAACATGATCATTACATTTGGGTGGCATTCTTGAATTCTCGAGGCATGGAATACAAGATTTTGCAATACTTTCGATGTCTTTGTCGATGTTAGGCCAGTAAATGATGGAGCGGGCAATGCCTTTCATTTTGGTGATTCCCAAGTGGGCGAGATGCAGTTCATCCAATAATTTCTGAAGAAATTTTTGAGGGATGACGACCCTATGTCCGAGCATCAAGCATCCTTGAACAATAGAGTATTCCAGCTGATTCCCTTTGAACCCAAGAGTTTTGAGGTCTTTACCTTGTTCAAGAGCTTGGAAGAATGTAGACAACTCTGAGTCTTGTTGAGTTTCAAAAGCGATAGCTTCTGTGCTGAGGGGCAATTGATCAATTTGCGCCGATACAAAAGAGTGGAAGTGGTCTGGGAGATCATCAGGAGGATCATAGTTGCCATTGACACTTCTAGAGAGGTAATCAGCGTTGGCATTCTGTTTTGAGGGTCTAAATTTGACATTATAAGTAAAGTTAGTGAGATAACTGGCATAATTTGAGCATCGAGACAAAGGAAATTTTGGCAATAATGAATCAGGAGCAAAGATGTGTGATAATGGTTCATTATCTGTGATGAGGGTGAACAAACGACCATAAATATACTGAAAAAAACGTTTGATACCCCAGACGATAGCTAAGGCTTCTCTATCAAGCTGAACATAACGTTGTTGCGTTTCACTAAGACTTTTGCTTGCATAGGCAATTGGCCTTTCAGTGCCATTTGGCATGATGTGTGACAACACCGCACCGAGGCCCACGGGACTTGCATCAACTGCAAGCGTTATCGGTAAACTGGGATCATAAGGTGTTAATACCTTGTCAGAAATGAGCTCACTTCTGAGATCTTCATAGGCAGCCAAACCAGCTTTGGTCCATTCAAAATGAGAGGTTTGAAGCATTTGCCTTAGAGGATAAGTGCGTGTTGAGAGGTTATCAATAAAAGAATGATAGTATGTAACCTTGCCTAAAAATTTTCTAAGTTCTTCAGCAGACTCAGGTTTTTTTGCTTGAACTATAGCCTGATCATGTTTATCTAGCTTATGAATTCCTTCTCCGTCCAACATGTGACCAAGAAATTCAATAAATGTGAGGAAGAATTGACATTTTTCGAGAGAGAGTTTAAAATCCGTCTCTCTTAGCTTTTGAAAAAGTTTGTCAAGAATTGCAAAGATTTCTTCAATTGATGAACCAAATACTAATATATCATCAAAAAATTGACAGCTCCTTTGATACCTTTTAAAATTTGCTCCAGACGACGTTGCCAGGCAGCAGGGATATTAGAGACACCATACTGCGCTCTTGTTGGCTGGATTAACCCATACGTTGGAGTGTTCAAAGTCATCGCTTCGCATGCAGCCTGAGAGCACCGAAGATGCATGAATGTGTCCTTAACATCCAG